GGAGGAGCTGCCGACGGAGCCCGTGCCCTTCCACACGCGCCCCTTCTCGCACTATGGCCAGGCCCTGTGCGTGGCCATCCCGCAGCCCTGCCGCGCCGCCGAGCGCTTCCAGCTGCTGCTCACCTACCGCGTCGGAGAGGGACCCGGGGTGAGTGCGCTCCTGGCCCAGCAGGACTGCAGGCCTCGCCGGCCATCTCCTGCCCGCCCTTCCTGCTTCGGAGCCGCCGCCGGACCCGCACTTACCCCTCCCCGGAGGAGGGAGAGGAAGAGCTCCCCAGCGCCCAGTGCATCGCTCCCGCGGCGCCCTCTTCCTGCGGGCCCTGCCTTCCCTCTCCGGGGCTCTCACTCTCGCCCGCGTGCTGCGGGTGCACCAGCTCGCCTCCCCACCCCCCGCCTCGCCGCCCTGGCTGTCCTGGCGTTCTGCCTGGGTGATCCCGCATTCCTTCCCTCTCGTCACACCACCGTATCTGGTGTCCTCTGTGGCATCCGGGATTACCGACCATTCATTCGCGGAGTGTAATGCTGTCTCGGCACTTTGGGCCCCAGGTCCATGATCGTCAGTCGCTTAATTTCTGCAGCCGGGCGGCCCTGGCCAGTGCGGAGTAACCAGCCAGAGGCCGACTCGGGCCTTTGTTCTGTGCACTCGCAGCTGCACCGGCCGGAACAGCTCTGAGGCCCCGGTTACTCGTGGGGCCTCCCGTGAAGCCCTGAGTTGATTAACAGAAGAATGTGCGTAACAGAGCTGGAATCAGGGTGCTCTGGGCTGTGTAGTAGCTTGGCCTTCTTTCTGCTGGCTGTTAAAACTTACAATGGGGGCTGGGCGTGCAAATGGAAGTAAGAGGCTGTGAAGTTGCAGACCAAGTCCTCTGGGTCCAGAGGTGCCCTTGTCTGGGCCGCTCCATCTTTCCCAGGTTGGGATCTGGTTTCAGAGTGGCAAACTGCCTGCTTTCTATGGCAGTCTGCTTATCTGGCTAGCACTTCCCCTTTGCCCTCAGAACGGCTCAAAGAGCAATCCTTCCCGTCTTTCACAATTGGGGAAATATTAGTAAATGAACCCTGTGACAGAGCTTGCTTTAAAAATGAAAGTCCAGGGACCAGCAGTTAGCGTAATGGCTATGTCGCTGGACTCCCACGTGGTCAACCGCGGTTCGCGTCCCGGACCCGGTGGCTTAAAACACGCCGGGCTCTTGTGCGTGCATGCCCAAGATCCCGAGAGGAGAATGGAGGAGAAGGGATTGCTGCATGGCCATCTCTCCTGGGGGGTGATTTCTCACTTTCTGTCTCTCTGTCTCTCTGTCTGTCTGGCAAGTGCACGTGCCCTATAGCAAAAAACCTCTTTAAAAAATGAAAGTCCAAAGCACAAGATCCAAACTGACCTCCAAGGACCAGGGAAACAAACCAGTGGCCTCGGGGGAACCCCACCTGCCCGTGTGTTTGGTTGCTCTGTTATAATCCGGTTTTCGACAGCAACCAGAAATTAAACAGGGTCGCTGGAAAAGTTAAGCCCTCTTTGAATCTGCTTTAAAAGTAGCACTTTAGGGGCCAGCAAGCAGTGTGGTGGTTAAGAGCACTGGATTCCCATGTGCCTGACTGCTTAAATCCCGAACCTGGTGGCTCGCTTTCTCACTTTCCCTCTCTCTCACTCTGTCCTCTCTGATCAAATTAAAATAAATAAAGTTAAATAAAATATTTTTTTTAAAAAATAGCACTTTAGATTAAACATGGACACAGAGTAGGTTTCATTTATCAATAGATGTATTGGCAGACGCCTGCCAGGTCCAGGACTCGAACCCCAGTTGGCCTGTGCATACGAAGAACTGTTCTTGCACTGGGAAGGTCTTCTACATGGCAGTAATACAGGGGTCTTAAGTAATTAATGGAAATTGCCTGTTATGAAAAAGCTATGCATGGTTTAAAAATTTTTTTTCTTTTAATTTTTGCGAGGGAGCGCACGTACTCACTGGAGCCAGAGAGAAATCACCTCCCAAGAGGAAATGGCCACACTGCAATTCTTCCCCCTCCATTCTCCTCTTCGGATTTTGGAAATGCACACACACATGCCCAACATGTTTTCTTCTTTAAAAAAAAATAGTTTTATTTTCTTTATTATTTTTCAATTTGCTATAGGGCATGTGCACCCACCAGAAAGAGAAAGAGAGAGGGAAAGTGAGAATGCAAGAGGCCAGGTCCAGGACTTGAACTGGTAACAGCCATGTAAGGGTCCAGCACCCTGACTACCATACCACTTGCTGACCTCTATGCCTGGCATTTTTTTTTTAATAATTTTAATTTAACTGTATTACGTTTATTCATCCACTTAAATTTGACCAGAGAGGGACAGAGAGAGAAAGTGAGAAAGCAAGCTGCCAGGTCCAGGACTCAAACCACAGTTGGCCATGCCCAGCGCCCTTAACCACCATGCCAACTACTGGCCCCTGCCCCGCATGTTTTCAAGCTGCTAGTCCAAGACTCAAACTGCAGCCAGCCATGTGGGATCCAGCTGCCTTAACTTCCACAAAAACTGTTTTCGCCAGTATTAGCTCCTACTTCTTTTTAATTTCAATTATTTTTTGTGTAACTTTTAAAAAATTTGCCAGAGGGTGCACACTTGCTGGAGAGAGACAGAGAGAGAGAAAGTGAGAAACACCCCCACGGGGGATGGTCACACCACAGTCCCTTCTCCATTTCTCCCTCAGGATTCTGGGCATGTGCACACATGTGCCTAAGAATTTCTTTCTTTTTTTCTTGATTCTCAGACATCTTTATTAAATGGCATTATGAGTACTCCTGATTTCTTTTTTTTTTAATTTTTAAAATTTTTATTTAAAATGTATTTATTTTACATTCATCGTGAGTTTCTTAAACTGCCAGGCTTCAGCTGTGAGACCCAGCCCCCTTCACCACCTCGCCACAGGCGGGCCTCTTTTTATAGAGGGTGTTTGTGCTGGCCAGTGAGAGAATGAGAGAGAAGGCACTCCCCAGTGGGGCCTGATCACACTGCTGTTCTTTTTCCTTCACTTTTTTTCATCGTAGTAGGATTTAGGGCACACATGCACACATGTTTTTTAAGCTGTCCAGGCTGGGATTCAAACCAGCATCAGCCAAGTGGGATCCAGTTCCTAGTGCACAATGCTTAGCCACTGTGCGTGGGGCTAGCCTATAAACTCACTCTTTAATTACACTTTTCTGTGAACTTTTTGCAGTTCCCTAGTATTCCTGTCCCTCTTCTCATTGCTACCAATCCCAGGAGGTTCTCCGCATCCCCTCAAGTAGCGTTCTCTCCCTGACAGGACCCTGCAGAGCGCACACTGCTAGGCTCTGGCATTCCATGGTCTGCACATCCTTAAAAACAACAACAAAATAAAAAAAACTCAGGCCACCCTAGAGCGACGTTAAATCCTGTACATGAGGAGCCAGATCCCACATTAAGGACCTTGGTTCAAACACAGCTAAATCAAGGGTCCTTTGAAAAACAGGCTGGGCGTTGTGTGTGTGCATGCTCCAAATGCTGGTGGGATGAGGAAAAAGGATTGTAGCATGGCCACACCCTATTGTGGAGAGCTATGGCAATTGAAAACAACTAAAATACTGGTCCATGTATGGTGGTTAATATGACTGGATCCTACTAGCCAACTGCGTGGTTCAAGACCCAGTGGCTTGAGAAACACACCAGGCATGTATGTGTGTGCATTCCCAAAATCACATGAAGAGGTAGAAATGGAGAAGGGAATTGCAGCTTGACCATGGTGTGGGGGGGGGGATGGGGCAGGTGGAGGAGAGGCTGTCTCGGTTCTCTTTTTCTCTCTGTCTTGGGAGCACATGCCTTTCTCAGGGAAGCGCATGCATCCTCTGGCAAATTTCTGTTTCTTTGTTTGTTTTCGAGAGGTTTTTGCTATAGGGTGCCAGAAAGACAGAGAGACAAAAAGCAAGAAGTCACCTCCCCAGGGGGGATGGCCATGCCGCAATCCCTTCATTCTCCTCTCAGGATCTTGGGCACACGCACACACATACACGTGCCCTGCATGAGTTTAAGCCACTGGGTCCGGGATTCAAACCATGGTTGACTACATGGGAGTCCAGTGACACAGCCATTACACCAACTGCTGGTCCCCTGGTAAATTTTCTTTTTTAAAGAATTATTTTATTTAACTTTATTTATTATTATCATTATTATTTTCCAGTTTGATCAGAGAGAGACAGAGAGGAAGTGAGAAAGCAAGCCACCAGGTCCAAGACTTGAACCATGGTTGGCCATGTGGGGTGGGATTCCAGTGCCTTTAACCACCATGCCACTTGCCGCCCCCTCCCCCCGCCCCGGGAAATTTCTTAAAAGGCTCAGGCAAAGCCGATGAGTGAAGAGTTTTGTGGGAGAATGATCATCAATATTTATTAAAATGTGCCAGAGGCCAGCAGGTGGTCAGGGAGTTGGATTAAATATGGCTCACCACAGTTTGAGTACCAGACCTGGAGGCTTACTTTGCCACTGGGACCGGCAGGTGGCATGGTGGTTAAGGTGCTGGACATTCCCACATGACAGACCACAGTTCAAGTCCTGGACCTGGTAGTTTGCTTTCTCTCTTCCCCTCTCTCTCTGTGTGTCTCTCTCTCTGTCAAACTAAAAACAAATGAATGAATACATAAAATTAAATAAGTAATTCTTAAAAAAAAAAAAAAAAAAAGAAAGATGTACCAGATCCTAGCCTGAGTACTTGATGTAAGTTAAGCGAGTTGTTTCCACAGAAGTGTCTATCTATATACTGCCTTGTGCTTGGTCAGTACTCTAATACCTCTTTTCAACTCAAAACATTATTAGTAATAGGCTTGCTTTCTTTTTTTGTAATTTATTCATTCATTTATTTTAATTTGACTGGAGAGAAAGAGGGAAAGCAGGAAAGCAAGCCACCAGGTCTAGGACTCAAACCGTGGTCAGCCATGTGGGAGGCTCCAGCGGCTTCACCACAC